ATATTTATATGCGTTGATTTACCGTTGAAAATATTCTGATCTTTTCAAATCTTTTCATGTTAGCGACCAACCAATCACAACCCATTTCCCTGTGAATTAGCTAATCAGCTTTGTCGACCGCCAGGCGGTCGACTTACATGCACTTTTGGCAATATTTTCATCAGACCTACGTTTAGGCTCAGATTCCAGCCGTTGTGTTCTCGCCACTCGCCCAGTGGGCGAGTGGCGAGAACACAACGGCTGGAATCTGAGCCTAACCTACGTTTCGCCCTTCGTCGACCCGCGAATTTTAGGGCGGGCGAAACGTAGGTCTGTTATCAGGCTAAGGTATAGGGGGCCCTCTTGGCAGTCACATAGATTAACAAAATAGATTGATAGTGTTGGGAAAGCATTTAATAAGAACAACTAACTAAGGTCTCATGACTGCCAACTCTCATGCCCTTTGAGAATTGTCAAGTTTATTTAAAATTTGCATTAACGGGGGGTCAAAAGAGAATAGACTTTTCCGGTAATTACGTCACAGCTACATTGTTTTTAACTTAGGACCCCCTTAAATGAAATAAATTTCAAGTTTTTTTCTTACTGGCTATGTGTAAAGAAGCAGAGCATCCTTCTTTAACACATGCATGAAAATTGTTTTTAAAATTTTGATCCATAAACGTGAGACTAAGCGTTTACACGAAAACGAGGCTAAGGCCGGGCCATTGCCCATTAGCCTCGTTTTCGCGTTGAAGCTTATTCCGGCATTTGTTGGTCAAAATAATATTTTTTTATCATCCTTCTGTTAAAGAAGGATGTTCTGTTCTTTGCGCATAGCCAGTGAGAAAAAAACAACTTGAAGTCCGATCCATTCCATTTAAGCGTGATTTAAGATGGCCCTAAGTTGAAAACAATGTAGTTGTGACGTATTACCAGAAAGGTCCATTGAAAAGTGAGTTTGCAAGAGGGTTTTCTCAACTCTCATGCCCCTGTCAAACGAGAACAAGAGTTGCATAAGAGTCAGCGAAAACTCTCATCAACTCTCATTAAATTTTGAACCAGTACAAAGTCGATGAGAATGCACGAGAGTCGATCGATGAGATCATGTGAGTTAGTGGCGGTCAGACGTGAGCGAGAGTTGCAACTCTCAATGGTTGACTCTCGAGAGTTGCAACTCTCTGGGGCTTTACAACAATAATCAAAAAGACCTTGGGATTGTTGTCACAAAAGATCTCAAGTGGACGAAACAGGTTGAAGAAATAACATCAAAAGCGAGCTCAATGCTAGGCTTCATTCGTCGAACAGCCTCCGACACGCATAACATCCACGTGCGAAAGGTGTTGTACCTGTCCTTAGTGCGCAGCAAGTTAGGATATGCCAGCCAGGTGTGGGCACCTCAAACTGTCAGCGACATACTGTCAATAGAACGGGTTCAACGTCGCGCGACCAAATTCATCCTTTCCCTTCCTTACAGAACAGCCACAACATACAGGGAACGACTACTGGTTATCGGTATTCTCCCAGTCTGCTATTGGCACGAATTTCTGGACTTAGTTTTTCTTTACAAGAGTATTCTAAGCAACGATGTCAATGTGTCAATACGAACAACCACCCGGACGACTAGAAACGCTGACCCTGTCAATGGTATTCTTCTTAATGTATCTCGATGCAGGACAGTTAGCTACAAGAACGATTTCTATGTGAGAGCGCCTAGCGTATGGAACATTCTCCCTAGCAATATTCGCGACACTTCAAGATCATTAGCTTACTTTAAAATCTCTTTATTCAATTACTACTTAAACCTCTTAGAACAAATATACAACCCGGACAATCCTAGAACATTTAAGTCCGTGTGCGTCAAATGCCACTCAACTCGGTCTCTTGATAGTTTATTAGTGAGGACATCTTGTTGACATTTTAGCATAATTTGTTTTAATGTTATATATTGTAACTTATTGTGAGGGGCCCCATAATTGGAGATTATCTCTGTGGCTAGTCCCTGCCCGAATTGTATGTAAATTTTGTAAAGTATTAGTCTTATTTATGTCTGTTATGTTTGGCGAATCTTGTAAAATTAAAATTAAAATTAAAATTTATATATACTACGCGCGTGGTAATATCACTGATCTAAAGATAATATCTAGTTAACTCTCATGCAACTCTTGTTCTCGTTTGACCGGGGCATGAGAGTCAGTAAAAAACACTCATCCAAACTCTCGCTTCTCAACTCTCATCAACTCTCATGCAACTCTTGTTTGACCAGGGCTTCATTTTGAAAACACTTTTTTGCAACCTGACACTGCAGTCTGAAATTAATTTACAACATATTTGGCGACCCCATTTTTGCCGCATAATTTATATTTCTTCTGTAAACAACACAGGCTGATTAAGGCCTTTCATCTCTCCAATTTAACCAAGGCTTGTTTACATATGTTTCGCCTCATAATACCCCCCGCAACAAACCTTAAATCAAATTTTGAACAGCGATGTAGCAGTTTTGAATATGCTCATGGTGCCCATATATGTACCAAAATCCTGTAATATGCATGATTTTGGTGTATACAGGTATGCATATACGTATTACATACGTGTGCGGTAATTTGCTAAAATTGCTTGTTTTTCTCCTTAATTTTCTCATATATACAGGTTGCGCCAACAAAATGTCATTAGGTCAAAAGATGTGCTTTTCTTTCTAGTTTTTGCTTATAGAATGAAAACTCGCCTAAAAACGAAGAAAACACTGAATTTTAGCAAATTTCATGTGCAAGTGTAATTTGTATGAAAAAGGCGACTCAGAAAATGAGCATCAGAATAAAAATTTTGCCCTGTATTTTGCTCTAATAGTTAAAGATAGAAAAGAATTGTAATCGGTCTTCATAGTTATATTGTTTTAAAAGTTCATTGAAATGAGACAAACTCAATTTTTTATTGTCACTTCCCCTTAAGACGCATTGGTGCACACCATGTGCTCGACCTTCAACAAGTTCAGGTTTTCACCAACTTTTGGTAATCATCAACTTCGCGTTTGCTTAGATCCAGCTCCTCGTAGTCTGGTAAGTATCCTACCATTTTGATGTCTTCGTACGACTCTCGAGTTTGCATGAGAGTTGAGAAGCGAGAGTTTGCATGAGAGTTGATGAGAGTTGAGAAGCAAGAGTTTGCATGAGAGTTGAGAAGCGAGAGTTTACATGAGAGTTCATGAGAGTTGAGAAGCGAGAGTTTACATGAGAGTTGATGAGAGTTGAGAAGCGAGAGTTTGCATGAGAGTTGAGAAGCGAGAGTTTACATGAGAGTTGATGAGAGTTGAGAAGCGAGAGTTTGCATGAGAGTTGAGAAGCGAGAGTTTACATGAGAGTTGATGAGAGTTGAGAAGCGAGAGTTTACATGAGAGTTGATGAGAGTTGAGAAGCGAGAGATTGCATGAGAGTTGATGAGAGTTGAGAAGCGAGAGTTTGCATGAGAGTTGATGAGAGTTGAGAAGCGAGAGTTTGCATGAGAGTTGACTGACTGGATATTAACTGGTCAAACGAGCAAAAGAGAGTTGACTGACTGGATATTAACTGGTCAAACGAGACTAGTTGATGGGAGTGGATGAGAGCTGGCGGTCAAAACGAGCGAGAGTTCATTGAACTGGTTCAAATTTTGATGAGAGTTTTCGCTACTCGCGCAGTAATATTCAGCCAACCCTCGTCAATTCTCATGCAAATCTTGTTCTCGTTTGAGCGGGGGCAAAATCTCGCTTCCTTCTCAACTCTCGTCAACTGTCATGCAATAAGTGGCACAAAAGAAAGTCGAGACTGGCACAAAAGTAAGTTACGGGAAGAGGTTTGTATACTGCACAGCTTTATCTGTTCTAAGTTGAATAGTTCAGCATGAGCTCCACCTTTGAATTTACTATATGAGTAAATTTACTATATGAGTAAACTGTTAAACACGTCAGAATTTATCATTATGATAAATTCGCGGCACCTATACTAACCCCTAACACAAACCCTAACCCTAACCACAACACTAACCCTAACTAACCCCCAACCATAACCCCCAAACTTTTAAACTTTTTTTGAAAATCTTTTTCTCCCTTTTAGTGCCATTACATTTATAACAAAACTTCTTGTCTAATGCTTGTGGTTTATGATTTATACTATTGATAATTTCAAAATGTGCCGCGAATTTATCATATTGATAAATTCGGACGTGTTTAACAATTTACTCATATAGTAGGAGCTTATGCTGAATAGTTGGTGGTCAAACACGGAGAGTTGCAACCTCTACAGTGAAAACAATATTTCAGTTAAATCAAGATATAATACATTTATTGCTTCCCGGAATAATTTATAGTTGAAATTAATTATACGAAATAAGTAATTTGCGCGTGCAAGTTAATTTAAGTATAGTCACGTGATTGGAAATTTCTGTATTTATCAGTGGTGAAACGTGCCATCTTTCCTTTCCTATTCCACATGGGCTGCAGTTCACATCAAGAAATTGGATGGAAGAGATTCACCCACCCTCCTCCCCGTTGTTGGACGCTATATGTTGAACTTATATAGATACGTTAGGGACCGCTCATTATTTATTGTACAGGGGGGATTGAAGAGAAACTGGGGGGCCTTTAAATTTTTTTTAAACCTGGAAGGGGGGACTTTCAAAAATACAGAGAGACGAAAGAAGGGGGGCGGGCTTTGAAAATATTTACTAGTTTTAAAAATGTATCACAAAACAAATTACTATTCATAAATGGAGCCAAATAAATAGTCTCTCTTGTTGATGCTGGTAAATAGACAATTCTCATTATGGACGATTAAGCGGCATTGCTAACTCCTCTGGAAAAAGAGACAATGTGCTCAAATCCATCCACTTTCCAGAAGGTACTGGCGATCTAACACCTAGCGACCTGGCGAAGCATTTTAATAATACTTTTCTGACACCTACTGACAGATTTGAACCGCTTACCCGTAATCCCTTTCGAGATGGCGATGCCCCATTCCTGACCGAAATTTCAGATGATGAAAGTGATGAGTTACCGGCAGTATCGGAATTGTCAGTCCTCCGAAAGCTATCTGCGCTCAATCCAACCAAAGCACAAGGGCCGGACCGTCACAGAAATCATCAATACCTCTTACCGCGAGTGCCGCCTCCCACCATCCTGAAAAGAGGCAGACGTAGTCCCAATTCCAAAACAAAAACCGATCAAAGATGTCAACAAACACCTCCGCCCTGTCTCGCTCACACCAATTATATCAAAGATAGCTGAAGATCATGTCGTTCAGGAGTACGTCAAACCAGCTGTGTTAAAGAAAATCGACCAACGACAATTTGGAACCATTCCTAATTCGTGCATCACACATGCACTTATAAGCATGACCCACAACTGGTACGTTAATACTGACGGAAACGGCGCCACAGCCAGAGTTGTGTTGTTTGACTTTCGAAAGGCTTTCGACTTGATCGACAACAACATTCTGGTGAAAAAATTGTCGACATTGATACAACTGCTGATATGTGGAAGTACGTAGACGATACCTCGATTTCAGAATTGGTGGAAAAGGGCCATGCGAGCAATATTCAAAATGTTGTTAGTGACCTCTCCAGACAATCGATTAGCGAGGGATTCGAGCTGAATGAATCTAAATGTAAGGAGCTGAGGATCAGTTTCGCACGGAGGAAACCAGAATTCGATCCGTTAGTGGTGAACGGTAAGCCTTTAGAGATAGTAACTGGTGTAAAAGTGTTGGGACTGAATATCAGCAGTGACTTGAAGTGGAACATGCATATAATGGAACTAGTTAAGAAAGTTAACTGTAGGCTGTATTTTCTGAAGCAACTAAAGAGAGCATCAGTTGCACCAAGGGAGTTGACTCTGTTTTATGTCACTTGTATTCGATCCATCCTCGAATATGCATGCCCAGTCTTCCACCGCAGCGGCTACCAGCATACCTGAGTGACGACCTGGTGAGGCCACAGAAACGGGCGTTAAGAATTATCTATCCACATATACATTACAGTAGAGCTCTCGAAGTGTCAAGAATTTCAAGGCTTTTTGAAAGAAGAGAAACAATTGCATCTAAACTTTTTGATGAGATCACCAACGACCCACAACATCACGTTCATAACTTACTTCCTGTTAGAAACATGAATAATTACTCTTTGAGGAGCACAAGGAAATTCGTACGCCCTTTATGTAAGACCGAACGATGTAAAAATAGTTTTATTCAAAGCTATAGTTACATGCAGCTTGTAGACACTTTAAACTATTATACAGATTAGATCATTCCACTATATGTTTGTGCTAATTACTTTAGAGTTTTCCCACGCAATCTCGTGTTTGGTGTAACATACATGTTCGGCTAATGCTGATATTCCCTTGTCTAAAGTTGAAACAATTACTTAAGTAATTGTAATATTAAGGTTGCCTTAAAACCCTATTTGACTTCAGGCCATATTTTCGCAAAGCCAAAAGATCCTGTTAAAACAAATCAGAAAACTCATGCTGTATATTCTATACCATGCGGTGACTGCGAGAAAGAGTATTTGGGTAAGTCTAAACGCCAGTTTGGTACACGGCTAAAGAACATCAAAAGGCTGTTTCAACTTTAGACAAGGAAATATCAGCTTTAGCCGAACATGTATGTTACACCAAACACGAGATTGCGTGGGAAAACTCTAAAGTAATTACCACAAACAATCGCTATGGTCAAAGACTTTGCCTAGAAGCGTGGCATATAAATATGAGTAATCATGCTTAGAATAGGGATGACGGTGCCTATTTGCCAGAGGAATATATGCATCTCATTGGCAGGTGACGTCATCCCTTGGGTATTTAAGAAGCCACGATTGCAATTTTAGATCACCTCTGATGAACATACTAGACTGGAGTGTCGAAACGTTGGGTCTTGATTACAATTCGACTGTGCTTTATAATCATTTATTTAAACCAGATTAGCAAGCGAAACATGATTGATATACCTGGTTGCAGTGAACGAACAAACTTTAAATATTCAACTTTGTTTCATATGCAAATATCACCGGTGTGACATCACATCACATAATGAGTTTTCAGAAAAGTATAGTTTTCTTGACGAATACGAATCTAAGAAACTTAAAAATCGCCCTTGTTTATGTACTAATTTCATAACTGGTAATTAACCCACTGTATTTGTTTGTAAAAATATTTTATCAAGGTAAAATATTGCGTTTTCAAAATATCATTATGCGATGTGATGTCACACCGGTGATATTTGCATTTATAATATAGCATTTGTGAATTATGAACGCTGATTGGCTAAGAGCCGTGTTGAAATAACTCGATGTCAACACGGGAAATTTCCGCCGCTTGTAAACACGGAAATTTTTCTTATCCTTCGGGCTTTTGACATTGCTATATTATTGCTATATTGCAATGTCAGTATTGGTATGTATGGCAGAATTAAACGAGTCCCAAATAGTTCCATACAATAGTTACACACGAGTTCCATACAATTTCTCGTTTTCCCAATTCCACTCGTGTTGATATAACTGTATATCAATTATCAACACGGAAAATGTTTTATATTTATTAAATCTAACAAAGTTGACTAATATCTTGCAAAGGAAGCAAGTTACCAAAATTCTATAAAAGAAATTATTAAGTCATCTTAATTTTTAAGTAATCATTACAATGCAATCATAAACATTTGGGGTGAAATTTCGTGTCATATGCACTTTAAGGAATAACGGTTTCTAGCAAGCTAGGACATATATACCTAATAGACAAAGCTAGTTTAAGCCTTTGCCCACCATTCAACTCACAGCGCATTTGAAGCTTCAACTTTCCATTCTTTGGATACTCACTTCGCTCATAAATTAATAGCCGGAGCGTCAGTAGAGCAAAACAATATTAGCCAGAGCCAAATTATTATTAACCATGACTTCAAACGGATACCTGAAGGGCTGTTTGTGGTAAATACTTCGGATATTGGATACGCTCAAATTGCATAAGAAAACCGTGCAACCGGCTGTGATCTCTTTCGCTGCCTTATAGACTCTGTTGTCGCCATGTTTTCATTACGAAAGTCATCTATAGTATACTGAAAATTCGAAACTTTTATTACAGCAAATGCACTGGGGTAATACAAGAAAATGAGAGGAATTTTTTGGCACATCGTATCACAGCTTCTCAATTTTCTCAATTTTTTTCTTTAGATATATTCAGATAATTGTAATAAGACTAAACAACAGCGCTCTCCCCGATCCGTCATATTCATTTACATCAGACAAAATCTCAACAGTCAATGAATCAGTTCCAACCTTAGTGCCACACGTCACTGCACAACTCACTGTTGATCAAGCAAATGAACTAAAGACCTTTGTTATTGGTGATGGCTTGAACTATGGTGAAACTCCCAGAAAGCGACGAGAGGCCGAATGGTTCAGGATAGCATATGATGAAAGTGGGAAACAAGGGACGAGAGACAGAAGGAGTGATGACTCTGCAAAAACAGCGTTGTTTTATAACAGACCTTTAGAGCCGAATTCAAATTATTCCGCTTTTCAGAGAACGTTTATAGATGAGGTAAGTTATAAATTATTTGAGTGCACACGAAGCGATAGTTTGGAATCAAGCTTAAAGCTGATAATCCTGTTTTAAGTTATTGAAATATCGAGAGCTTCGTACCAGTCTCATGTGCACCAGGCAAATCCGGGAAATGTCTTAAATACGTCGTCATGGTTAATAGTCTAGGACCTGTATATGAGTTTGTATGCGATTCATTTAGGACAGGTAATCTCAACTGTTTTAGGGTAAAATGACCATGGCGGTCAACATGGCATATGTGCGAAAACCTGAATCCGGGACGAAAGTCCTGAAAATGACCCCGCCCTGAAAAGGCAGTACCGACATAGCTCTAACTTCCAAAAAGGAAAAGCGACAGCCTTTTTGAAGTGCTTATATTGTTCAGAAGGGTTGCTTTTAGGGGTGGTCATTGGAAGGAAAAGTTTGTCTAATTATAATATTTTACCAGAAAATGACTATGCACCACCCCAGGTAAATTGCTGATTATGCACAAAATAACTAATATGCCTGGCAGAAATTAAATTTTCTTATTTCCTAAAAAAAATTATCATGGGATGAAAAACTATGCTTAGTTCAATATAATTATTGTGGATTTTATAAGGATTGTCATTGTTTTCTTTTAATATAACACATTTTATTTCACTTACCCCCCACGAAAACACGATTTCAGGCATACTTTGCCGTCTTGTTTGCTTTTTATCGCCGAGTCTCGCAAATATCATCCAGTTGTTGTACCTTTACATAATCATAAAGGGCTAAAGAATATTTCAACCAAGTTTCATCAAGTTGTGAGACAGTGCAGTGTATTTTATCTTCGATATTGTGTCCTTCGATATTTCGTCAAATTGCCGCCATTTTAATGGCTCGCCGCTTCTCTGTCCGATAAATGCCACTTCTTCGTTTTCATATGTATTTAGATTACAGTATCCAAGAGTACTTCATTGTAGAATAGTCCCAATCGAAAAATTGACAATATTTGTCCCATTTGGAAGGAAAAACCCTCCCGTATACCATTTAGGTTCAAAATAAAAAACAAATCATTTGAAAGTCACGCGCAATCTTCAGGAAAACTTCTCGTGGACACATGACAGGGGGGGTTGAATATTTTCACGAATATGTTCGCCACCACAGAAACATAACTAAATATATTGTATTTATTGTATTTTTATGATTTATGACAAAACTACGCAAATATTTATTGTTTTTATATAAATCATAAAAATACAATAAATACAATATATTTAGTTATGTTTTTCCTTCCTAATGGGACAAATATTGCCAATTTTTGGATTGGGACTATTCTACAATGAAGTACTCTTGGATACTGTAATCTAAATACATATGGAAACGAAGAAGTTGCATTTATCAGACAGAGAAGCGGCGAGCCATTAAAATGGCGGCAATTTGGCGGAATATTGAAGGACACAATGTCGAAGGTAAAATACACTGCACTGTTACAAAAGTGGATGAAACCTTCTTTGAAATCTTCTTCAGCCATTTATGATTATGTAAAAGTACAATAACTGGATGATATTTGCGAGATTCGGCGATAAAAGCAAACAAGACGGCAAAATATGGCTGAAATCGTGTTTTCGTGGGGGGTAAGTGAAATAAAATGTATTATATTAAAAGAAAACAATGACAATCCTTATGAAATCCACAATAATTATATTGAACTAAGCATAGTTTTTCATCCCATGATAAATTTTTTTAGGAAATAAGAAAATTTAATTTCTGCCAGGCATATTAGTTATTTTGTGCATAATCAGCAATTTACCTGGGGTGGTGCATAGTCATTTTCTGGTAAAGTATCATACTAAGACAATTTTTTGCTTCCAATGACCACCCCTAAAAGCAACCCTTCTAAACACTATATAAGCACTTCAGAAAGGCTATCGCTTTTCCTTTTCGGAAGTTAGAGCTATGTCGACACTGCCATTTCAGGGCGGGGTCATTTTCAGGACTTTCGCCCCGGATTCAGCTTTTCGCACATATGCCATGTTGACCGCCATGGTCATTTTACCCGAAAACAGTTGAGATTACCTGTCCTAAATGAATCGCATACAAACTCATATACAGGTCCTAGACTACATGGAAAGTTAGGGCTTAGAACCGACCAAAGTGAATGACGTGACGTATGCATGTAGCTAGTGTACATGCATGTACCAGTGTATCAATGAATTATCACTGGAAAAAATTTTGAAATTCCATAGAAGTTCATAGTATGGAAATTGAATGGATCTTTATTGGAAATAGAATGGATTTTGGTTATCCATTATAATTGTATATTTCCATAGTATGGATATAGTAAGGAAATAGTATGGAT